TTTATTCCTAATTTTTCTGCTTTCCCGAATAAATTCAATTGCATCCTATTCACCTCTTATTCAGGCTTTGCTTATTTTCATTTCGCAACAGATCCTACAAATTCCCTAGAGCAGAATGCACACAAACAATCGAAATGAGAGCATTATAATTATACAAATGAAGCTATAACGATCGGTGCTCGAAATGCCGAAGATCCGAGACCTAGCAGCGCTCCTGGCAGCGCTCCTGGCAGTCTTCGTCTCGCATTGTGGCGCACCGATGGGAAACGAGAAGAGAGGAATCTTTCACGGAACTCACCCCACGAGAAAGGTGGAACCATCTATCGGCTCCTCCATCTCCGAGAGGACCCGAATTTCGCCTATAGATGTCGCTGACGCGTCCGATAGGGAACCCCAAGGTACTTGACCTCCCTATTCCTCTCGGACCTCCCCGTCCAAAAACCAACAACCACCGGATTTCAAAACACGCCAGATAGAGGCTGCAGGAAGTCATGAAGCGAAGAAAGTCTTTTATTCGCGATCGTGAACGATTTCGCGAATCCTTCGCGAATGTTTCGCGAAACGAATGAAACGGTTCGAACCTAAGTCGATGCCTCGATTCTTCAACATGTCTACTTGCGATTACACATCCATATCAGCGTCAAATGCCTAAAGTAGATTTTCCTGAAACCGTTCGCGGAGAGGCGAAATACATCGCAATACATGAGAAAGCGCATCAGCCATCTCCTCTCGTTATCACACCCATAGAAGAGAAGAGAGAATTCATTAATGCAGCACATCGATGAAAATTCAGGAGCGAGCATGTTCCCTTGAGTTAATGAATAATTTACCTGGGAAAGAATACAATTCGCTTTGTATCAACATAATGAAAAGATACTAGCGTTAATTTAATATGATAATGAGGGTCGATGAAGCGATACAGTTATCAAGAAATTGGTGAGAGCGAATCGTTTACTGGCTGGAGGTGGACAATGGAGGTCGATAATGACGATGTAGGAAGGGGCTTTGTCGCTACCTGCGAGGTTATATATTGAATAGTCGGATGAAGGACTGAAGACCGGAAGGAATATGGAGCTCACGGTCCAGGTTTTGCTAAGTGTCGTCGTATGCTTCGGCAGGATGGGAGTTATTGCTTGGGATGGACGAAGGGGTGAGGCGGTGTTGCAAGTGGATGGAACGAGGTGGCTGGAAGAGATACGGAGCTCCTTTTCGTGCGGTAACTGCATTCATGTCGACCTCAGCGGGAGAGGGTGGGAAGGATACTGCGGTTCCAACGATGCGATATCTCTCCAGTCTGCGTCTCCTGAGACGTTTCCGGACGAAATGACCCTTCGATTCCTGAGGGGGTAGAAGTGTGCCCGAGTGTTCATCGAGATATCTCCGAAGTCGGACGTGGATTTGCAGATTTACCGAGTAAAAGACTGGACCCGATCGGTTCACAAAGTCCAAACCGTTATCGTCGCCGGGGATCTCAAAGACTGGTGCAAAATTGCCTCCAAACTCAACAAACTCGAATCAACTTACCTCCTGATACCGGAGTTAGGTCGAAACGAGTCCTGCGGTGCCTCATATCGGATCGTTTCGAACGATACGGGAAGAAGTCTAATCAAGTTAGAGTTTTCCCTGACCGGATCCAAACTGACAGTGTCCTCAGCAGTAGCAGCTCCGTACGTGATGGTGAACGGGTCGGAATACACCGGGGCAGAGGCACAGATCATCAAAGACGTAGCGAAATATCGAAACTTCAGCGTGGATTTCATCTCCCCTAGAGACGGGGCCTGGGGTCAGTTTCGAAACGGCACGTGGACCGGGATGGTCGGGGACGTCATGAAGGGTCGGGCTGACATCGCCTTCTCCTGCCTCGGTGTCACTTGGGACCGGAACGCGTATGCAAACGTGGAGTGGTATGACGTAGGGTTCATGAAATTTGTCGTGGCGATGCCTGCTCACGAGAGAAACGAGTTTAAGGTATTAATCACGCCCTTCTCCTGGGAGACTTGGGTATGCCTGGTCGTTGGGTTCGTGATCGCCACTATCACATTCGTGATATTGAGACGACCGAAGTCACCAGGACAAGTTGTGATGGAAACGTATCAAGCATTGCTCGGACAGACCGTTTCGCCTATCTTCGGGTTCAGCGTCCGATTTCTCGCCTGTCTTTGGTATTTCACTGGGTTAGTCCTCAGCACCATCTACAGCTCTCGTTTGACCGCCTCCTTAACCATCCGGGAAAATGTTCAACCGGTGGACACCGTGGCTCAGCTGACCCAACGCGGTTTCAACGTAACCCTTCTCGACTATGGCGGTTCCAATCCCATGATCGCGAAGGCCGACTACAATCCTGATTACGCCGAGCTGGTTCGCCGCACCACCGTCGTGACCACTTTCGAGGACGGCTTCGACCTCGCCCTCCGCAAGGACTACGCATTCCAAGACGTGGAGGATATCCTTTACTACCAGATGAAGATCTCTCCCTCCATCGACCCAAAAGCATTCCATTGGATGCAGGAGAACTTGGACTGGTTCCACGTGGGTTGGGTCGTCCCTGCCAAAGCCGTGTACAAGGAAGCGATCGTGAAGGCTCTTCGAGACTACGTCTGGACCGGGCACTACCAGAAGAACTTGGACAACATCTTTAGCAGATCCAGTTCGGCAACCTCTCCAAGGAGCAGCAGCGATGCCGTGGTTTTCACTTTATTGCATTTTTCACCTGCCTTTCTCATTCTCGGCCTGGGATTTGCTCTCGGGTTCGTCGCGTTTCTCGGCGAATTTATTCGCTGGACGATATGCAAGAGAAGCAATAAAGTTTGAGTTCGACGCTGATCCCACTGAGTCACACTTTGCGGTTTCGAGTCGAGGAAAGACACTCTATCGATAAGGCTTCTATAATTATCTAGGCATGGGAGCTGATCGTGTCAGCTCGTCTCCCTATGGGGTATATCACAAGTGGTGTGGAGATGTTGTAAATACTAGCAATCCATCCATAGGCGGCCTTTGCCTTCTACGACAAGCTGGAACTCCCATTTGTTTAGCGTTTTCTGCTATTTACTAGTTCACTTCCCATGTTTATTCCATCAATAGTTTATGCATAATTGATATTCATCGTCCACGCAATTGTATGTATGCAAGTGCTTTCTTTAGCATTTTATCGTTTTACATAATTGATGATTTCATATTAATTTTCACGTCAAGAATCATCCCATTTCACAATTTTTACACACTTGTTATTTTTTCTATTTAAATTTGACATTCCGATTTTGTTGCGGAGCAGTGTCCAGGGGAAGCATGGGAATGGAAACTATGAAAAACACTTTTACAAGTGTTTTTCATGGTTCTCATTCGGAAAGTCGCTGATGTTCCAATTCCTTTTTAGCGCGCGGTCCTGTGTGACCCACAAGTGGATTCTTTTTTAAGAGGTGGGCATACTTCCAATTTACGAATTAAATTTAAAACAGTTGCGAATCAACAATTGGTGAAATGAGGAACGATCGATGCATAGCAAAATGAAAGAGTGGTTCGAGTTCCTCTTTGACAGGGTAGAATCCGAATGATGAGATTGGAGGATACTAAGGAGAGAGAAGTGAGTAAAGGAGAAGGATGAGGGGAGGGAAGCGTAGAGAGACGGATGTGTGGCGGAGAAGGGAGTCATGCGATGGAAGGCTCAGTCCGCCACTGAGGAAGTGCTTGACTGGAAGTGGGAGTGGGTGTTGGTCGGGAAGAAAGCGGAAATCAGTGCTTGCAGTGATGCGGTGTCGAGAACCGACTGGAGGTTGTTTATCCGCATGAACTTGCTACCACTCGTCGAGGGCCTCATCCCACCTTAGTGGGGAAATCCAGGAGTCATAGGCAGTTCGTCTTGCTTCTGCATCGTTCTGGGACGTCGTTTCCTCCCCGTGACATTTCATTCGGTTCGTGCATCTTTCGAGAGCCTCGACCTAAGAGGGACGACGTTGGGCGCCATGTTCCGCCTCGAGTCTGGTTTCATCCCGGAAGGAGACACAGGTGGCCCCGGTGAGCGGTTTGGCTGGAGATTCGGGACCTCTTGGGTCGCTTTGGTGGCTTCTCGCGAATGTGACGGTCGGAAACACTTACGTGGAATGGTTGGGTTCGAGAATGGAAAACTATGACTAGGAATTAAACTGCTAGGTCACCATAATCCTAAAATATCCTACCGCGCCCGGTGATAAGCACATCTGTGCAACATCTCCGTGATAGGACCGGTGACTCACCGATTACATTTTTTTCCTTTCGAAAAAAAGGGACGTCGTAGGCAGTTGACCTCGGCCGTGAACGCCCCGAATTCTATCGATCGCAATGGGGGCAGCTGCGAGATGCATTCAGCACAGGGCTACCGGGTCATGGGGGTTCCTTCACTCACGTGAGCGAGGGAACAGGTGTTGTCTCGGATCCCGATTAGATAGGGTTTGTGGCCCCAGATAATAGGAGTTCAAGGATTTCAACGCGACTGATCCTTGACTTCGACGTGTGTCTGGGGCGACGAAGCTGCGGTGAGCGACGGGAACCTACGAGAGATCGGCATATGCGCACCAACGGGGAGCCAAGAGGTCGGCCTGCCCCTGTCTTTCAAAGAGGGAGGCAAATAGTTGGTTTTGGCCCGCCCCCCTCCCCTCCAAGAATTCGAAGGCTGACGAGTAGGGGAGGGCTTTAAGGGAGTCGAGGGAAAGGGAATCTTCCCAGTAATGTCTTTATGGTGAAAACAGTCCTCCCTCCCCTCACGACAAACTTGAGTCAATGAAGACCTCCCAGGATCTCCGCGGGGTCGTACGATTTTTCGCGAGGCCGTATCAGTCGCAAGTTGAAGAAGGCCTCCTGGCACGATTCAGCCTTCTTAAAAATAATAAGAAGAAGGTTTCTATAGCCAAAAGCGAGAATTGTATTTGGATCTTCAGTGAACGGATTCGCTTGGAAGGCTCCGAGTCTTCCTCGCAGTGGCCCTCTCCATGCCCTCTACATGCATTCGCCCTCTCTATGCTCTTCGCATGCGTTCGCCAGACGCTGTTCGAAGGCTTAAGTTATGAGGGGCAGCTCATTCCCTTTTTTTATGCGCCTGCTCTAATTCTCCCATCGACGATCTTACAAAAAGCAATTTCCAATATATTTGTAAGAGCCAAATTCGTCATTTTTCATATGGAATAATGAAAATAAAGAAATAAAAACGGCTCGCCTTCCTTTTAGAGAACTGAGTCGCTCAGCTACCGGATTCCAAACTCTAAATTCTATAGTCATTCTGCAGTCCTGAAAAGGAAGGAATTCTTGTTCTCTCTTGTCATCGGATGTCCCCCTTTCGTTGGATTGTCAACGTCGCGAGCTTGGGATTTCGTAAGCGGCCTTTCGTAAGTGAACGTAGAAGAATGCAAGATGAGAATTTTTTAATTTGAGGAAAGCCTTCGCGAGAATCACAAATAGTTGCGAGAATTCAGAGCATTACTGATAGCCATTTCCGATCTAGGGGGGGGAGGGTGGGGAACCACTCATACAAGGGCTCAGTGTCCTGCCCCGGTGCGAAAATGTGAGAATTTTTGCAAATTGGGAAATTTGCAAGGTGGAAATTTTCGAGGATCGTGAAAACCTTCGTGCACTCCGCGAAAAGTTTTTGTCTCGAGAGCGAAATCGACTCAGTGAGTAACCCCGTCAACACAATGTGACAGTTATACAACCGTGCTGTTTTTCTAACATAGGAGATAGGTTGCCATTCTGGTAATTTTTGCTTTGCAATTTGGTGAAGACATTTAACTTATTTTTTTAACTGTTTATTTATTAACTGTTCAACTGCTTATTTTTGCTAATGGTGTTGCAGTCATTGTGCTGCTGCCGAAGATCTTCAACTACCATATTCATTTTAAAAATAAAAATAAAAAATTTCACTAAAATCCTCGTCGAACCTGTGCCATATGATGACCCCCTCAAGGACGCGATCTCGTTGCAGACTTCGGGAAGTGGAACTTCTCGGACGTGCAAGAGCTGTGGCTGAGGAAGCCGGACTGGGAGGTCGGCGTGAAGAGCGCCGTCATCTCGCTCATCATGGCCTTGGGGATCCTGGGCAACGGGGCCGTCATCTACATCATCCTCTCCAACAAACCCATGAAGAGGTAAATCCCAGCGGATGATGCTCGATCGCATTCGCGTTCGCAAGGGGCCGAACGGAGATGTGCCGATACGCCCGAGTTTTAATGGAACTTCAAATGACCACGCCCTTACATTCATTAGCAAGAGTCTCGTCCTGAACCATAGAATTCATCCAGATATTTCTGTAAAGTCTCTAAGCTTTACAAGAAGAAAATAACAGCTATATTTAGCATAGAGATCAGAAATATTATTCACAACTCAAAGGGCTAATAAGCGTGGAAACGATGTTGAGATCTCCTTTCCCCCACAACGGGCAATGGATGGGCGAAGCTCTCTAACGGTCGGGATCTCCTCTTTCTGGAGACGGTTTCTTCAGCAGCCTGGGAGATTTTCCTCCTTGGCCGCCCAATTCCATCCAACATCGTCGATCGACGACCACAGCGTGGCCACTAATTTGCATATGATGTTCGTCGTCAGGTCCCCGACGAACATGTTCATCCTGAACATGTGCATCGCAGACCTTCTCCTTCTGGTGATCTATCCGGTCTGCTTTCTCTTGGAGGACTTCTACCAAGCTTACCCTCTCGGATACATCGGGTGCAAGCTTCAGGGCTTCACATACCGTAAGAGTCCTTTCTACTCCAAATCCAAAGCTTCTAATTGAGAAATTTTAAGACTTACCCTTACAGCTATTATGAATGTCTTTCTTAGCGCGTTCAGCCTATGAAAAAAAAAGTTTTAATTAGACTATTGAATTTCGATAAAGTTGCTTTGGAATCGTTATCCAAGCCTTTGAGGAGAATAAATATGGACCAAACAGCCTCTCTCCTTCCAAACACCCAGTGACCCTGCACCTGGTGGAGTCCTTCACGCTGACGGTGATCAGCATCGACCGTCTCCTGGCCGTCATCCAACCGCTGCGCCCTCCCATCAAGCGGCGGACGGCGATCATCCTCTCGTCGGCCATCTGGGTCTGCGCCGGTGGGACCAGCATCCCTCTCATCGTCTCGAGAAATTACCTGGTCTCGTCTTGTACTATTTTCGTCATATTATGCTTTTCGTCTAAGAAAAATTATCCTTTTGATCGTGCTCGCCGTAAAGGGAAACCTGCCAGAAACCCGGGTAGAAAAAAAACCTAACTAAACTGCCGATTTATCCTTTGTTCTAAAGTAAGACAACTGGTCTCATTTCTGTGCGAGCATTCATACAACATTACATTCATTGAACAATACATTCGTACGCAGCACATATACTCTGTATGTGTACTGTGTACACACTATTCAGCTTATTGATGATATCACAATGACGGCAATCGCGATTGATCCAGACGTTGTTCATCGCTGTCGCGCAGAAGGAGTTTTAAAGTTTAACTCAGACATTCTCTTCACTCGAACCGAGCTCATTCGTACAAAACTAACGGGAACAGGGCGGAAATCGAACTTAACGAAAACCAGTCGGCACCAAAGAAGCTTAGGATTCTAAAAGTCATTTTTTTCTTTCGGCTTCTCGCACATTTTCACCCGACGGCGCAACGATATTTCCAGTATCGACAGTGGAAGGACTTCACGGAGATCACGTGCGAAGAGTCGAAGGAAATCGGGAAACCCTTCTGGCTCTACATGCTCATCTTCCTCGTCTGGATCCCCACCGCCTGCATGATCGTCTCCTACTCCTGGATCTTCTTCAAGNACCCTTCTGGCTCTACATGCTCATCTTCCTCGTCTGGATCCCCACCGCCTGCATGATCGTCTCCTACTCCTGGATCTTCTTCAAGCTCAAGGTGTACGAGAAGCGGGTGTCCGGAGACGGTGAGGGCTTTTTCCGGCTTTCGGGGCGGGGAGCGAACAGTTTAAATCCAAATAAATGTTCCCTTCTAACGTAGACATGGTTTCCAAAGTTGTCCAGACGCCAAGGACAAAATTTGCATGGCTAGTTTTCTTCTCAATATGTTAGGGAAATCGTTGCGAGTATAAGTTTTTTGCCTGGCTTTTTGTCTTTATTACCGACTTCACCGATAGTTAAGAAAACGCGCCCATGAATGACATTTCTTCAAGCAACTTCTCAAATTTAAAGGGGAGGTGAATGGCATTTGGCCAATAATTGGTCATGCAAGTAATTGGCAGTACTTGCGTAGCAGGCTGCCAGAGCTCAAACGTTTAAACATTCAATAATCGATTTTTCTTTTTATATATTGGATTGAAATTGAAACACTTTTTTTTAAGCAGTTCGAAAGGAGGAAGCTTCCTTTTCCCCGAAAGTCATGAATTTCCCATGAAAATCGACTAATTCTTAAGCGAGACATGGAAATTCAAAACGAATTTTTTGGATATTTTATTTGAGCTTCTTTTCAATAATTTCATACTCAATTTAATTTAAATCTATTTCCACGGGATGGGCGTGCTCAATATTTGATTTTTTTCTTTTACACGCTTAAGGTAATTTCTTTTAGTTCCTGATAATCCGTGAAAAATCTAATCTCCTTGAGAAAGTCTGCACCTCTTCCGACTTCAAACCCGTATCTTCGAAACTTTTTCTTTACTAGTGCACAAGAAGATGGTGAGTTTTGCCAGCTTTTCACGTTAAAAGGAGAAAAATTTATCCAATTATTTTTTTAAATCACTTTAAAAACCTCTTGAAGTTGAATTTTCGACCATTGCCCCGCGCAGAGAACCCGGTCCGGACCAGGCAGAAGCGACAGATCGTCCGGATGCTCTTCGTCGTCCTGCTCGTCTTCACCCTCACCTGGCTCCCCTTCCAGGTCCTCATCCTCTTCCGGTACTTCGGCCTCGACCCCCAGAAAGACTCGGTATGACTCCCCCTTTGAGCACGCCGAATTGTGGAGGGGGGGGGGAGGGAGGGGGGGGGGGGGGGGGGGGGGGGGGTCATTCCACCTCAAAGTGTGTCAAAATTAGGAAGGTTTCGGCCTCGACAGTCTCAATGTTCGATTAAATTTAGTAAGCAGGCGAACGAAATGAAAAATAAAAATTGATTGGCTTTCGTCCTAGAGAGTCGCTTTGAGCTCAAAATGGAGCGAGATTAATGAGGGAATCAAAGTATTCAACGGGTTTGACTATTATTTACATTTGGTTTAAAACGTTAATTTACAAACTTTTCGAAATTTGAAATAATTTCTACCTTCCCCCTCCCCCAACAAAAAAATTATTCATTTGTATTTCATTGAAAGGCCCTTGAAAGGTACGTTAGAATAGTGTCTATCCGAAACGGAAACTTCGAGAAATGCTCGGTGCTCGTCCGCGCGTGAATTCGTGGCAAGAGACGCCGCGGGAAATTCAAATCATTCGAGTGCTCTCGACCCCCCTCGGGGCGAGTGATGCCTCCTCTGGCCGATCCGGAGTCCGGCGGCGGAAGAGAGGGAGGAACCTCCCGTTTGACGGCAGAGAAACATTTTACGAGAATTGGGGATGCGTCTCGATGCAGGTGGGTGAGTGGTACGTGATCGCCCGCTTCCTTTCCCGGACGCTGAGTCTTTGCAGCAGCGCGCTCAACCCAGTCGTTTACGGCCTCGCCTTCGACAACTTCCGCAAGGCCTTCCGCATCTCCTTCCCCTGCTTCTTCTCCGAACAGGTACACATTACTAAATATAATTAACTAATACAAAAAAATTGAAATCCATCTGCTTCCGCGCAGAAATACGAGTACGTGCGGAGCGGCCAGCACTGGTCGCGACGGAAAACCTCCGCCCAGACGACCGAGCCCCGCGAAAGATCGCGGTCCGACCTGTTGGCGACCGGCGCACGCGGAAGGTCGGCCTTAGACGTGGAGGCGATCGTCCAGCGCAACAGGTCGCACTCCGAACAGATTTCATCCAACCGGATGAAATTCCCCGCCCCGCCCATAAACCCCGTCGTGGAGAGGATCGAGAACAAGCTTCAAGGTCCGTCGGACCGGGTCGATGGCTATCGCTTCCACTCCATTTATTGTGCTTCCAGTTTTTATTTTTATTTTTACTTAACAATTTATTTATTTTATTTTATTACTCTGTTTCGATTTATGTTGCAGTATGTAATTCTTATGTGTTCCACATTCCAAAATATTTTAAACATTTTTCCCACCGCAGTGGAGAGGCTGAAGAAGAACAACACGAACGCGATGATGTCGCACTCCGCCTCCTCCCTGACGCCATCCAACGAGTCGTGCTTCTTGCCGAAGGACCTCCTCCTGGACCCGAACCGCGCCGTCGGCGGCTCCTCGGCGACCTCGAGGAGATGCTCCTGCGAGCTCTCCCTGGATCTGCAGGAGCGCGAGGCGACCTCACGCCGTCTCTCGTACGACGGAAAGCTGAACGTGGACCCGACCCCGGACGACCTCCAGGCGACCTCGAACGGTCGACCTCGATTCCAAGTGATCGGGTCCTCGGACGGCGACCTCACCGCCCCCGAACCTGATCTCCCTCGTTACGACCCGACGAAACTCCGAAGCCCGCCGGCGGACGACCTCGCCGCTCGTCTCCTGGCCGGTTCCTGGCCTCCACACCTGGCCGGGTCCTGGCCTCCACACCTGCCCGGGTCCTGCCCCGCGCTCACGAAGTACGGCGATAACCTCCTCCTCCCCCCCGCGGACCGTCCGAAGTCGGACGTCGGCCGCCCTCGATCGCTCGAGATCCTCCTCATCCCCGCGTCGCTGCAGCGTGCATCCTTCAACGTCTCCAGGAGTTTCGAAGAACTCGCTCGGACGACGCCTTCCTCGCCCGCGTCGGTCGCGAACGAGTCGCGGGCGCCGGAACCGACCCGTCGCCGGCACCGCATTCGCTTTCATTCCGAGTCGCTGTTCCGGATGTCGCCCTCGCAAGGCGAGGACGAGCTAGTGCAACTCATTTGAAGACGTTCTGGTGCCGTTATGCCAGGGTTTTCCGCTCCTGACTCCAATTATGTTCCGAGACGATGTCTGTCACATTTTTCGATAAAATTTCATCTTGTGTTATAAGCAAGAGGCTGGTTCTTTCTACAGAAAGCTGAGGTGAAATTATCCCTAAAATCGTAAGTCTGCAATGCAATACCCTCGTTCTCTTAATATTCCCAAGCACAACCAAAACAAGGAATTCAGTGTCCCGACCGAGAATGGAAAGTAGAAAGAAGACAAAAGAATGATTCAAGTGCTCGCACGTACAGATTGGATAGCAACTCGCGTTTATTCTTTAGATATTGTCGTTTTCATAATATACAAGGAGCGTTCATTCAATTCGTGCGCTGAAGCTGTTACCCGGCAATCGCTCACCCGCCGTCAAAGTCCCACTCGAGGTGACTTCACTGAACGACTGGAGACATTTTAAGACGGTTTCAAGGTCGTTGTCTCATCACCGAAACTATACCACCGAACCTAGGACATTCAAATGCCCCTCTCGTGCCATCCCTAGCACTACACTTAACTTAGTAGAGTTCACACCTTTCAGCTCTACGTATATTTTCTTAATCGGGCCAAGGTATACCCATTTAAATAGCCGGCGTTCTTCCTTTCGGGGTCGTGCACGCTAGACCTTCAGCCGTCCTTTCTCAAGCCTCGTCTGC